ACTGAATATAGACAATCCAGTGGTGGATAAAGTACTCAATTTTGTTACTTAAGTAAAAGTACAGATACTGGTGCAAAAGATTACTTCAGTAAAAGTAAAAGCATCACATGAAAAAAATCAACTTATGTAAAAGTATTACAGTACCTGTTTGAAAATGTACTTAAAGAATAAAAAGTCACAGACTTTGGCAGAGAGTTTTAGAACAATTCAAGGATGAAATGTAGTGACTTTGATAATGAGTTAAGTGGATTTTACCAGCTGGATTTTATGATTCATTTAATTTCTTATTTTCTCTAGTTGTTTTGTGTTTTTGTGTTTTTGGTTTGCTCAAAGTTGGGACGTTAAATCAAACTTAATGTGCTAAAAATAAGTCACAGCCATTTCAGCAGATCTCAAACCATAAAGAAAAGTACTTTTTACTTTTGAGTCAAGACCGAAAATGTACTGGAGTAGAAAGTAGAGATACATGCTCTCAAATGTTGTGAAGTAAAAGTAAAAAGTATCCACTATAAAATGTATTTAAGTAAAGCACAGATACCTAAAAATTGTACTTAAATATGTTTGTACTTCATTACCTTCCACCACTGCTCTAATCCATGAATTACTCTTGCAACCAGAATGTTGTGAAACCAACCCAAAATCTAAGTAAGGTAACACTAGTATGTACTCCTTAAATTATTTATTTTTTTGGTTTGTTTGTTTTTAAATTTAGGTTCAAGGCTACATTTTATTCATTTTACTTTGCCTGCATTTAGGTCAAACTTACATAAGAAATGATATGTTTTAGCCATTCTGAATCATTTTTGCCTGAACTGGGGTGGTGATTGTCTCAAAGTAATCAATAATGATAGTGTTCAGACATCTGCTTGAGATTGGAAAAGAACATTAGCTGCTTTGTAAATGTATTCTGTATGTTATTGGAAATGGGTTCCATCACTGTCTGTGTTTATGTCTTACAATATGGCGTAAACTGTAAGTAGACACAGCCATCTTGTTCAACCATCATTTAAGAACATAAACATTGCAAACAATTCAAACCTATTAAAACCCCATTTGAGCTCATTTCCTTTCATGTTGAGATAATCATTACAAATAGAAACGTTTTGGATCAAAAGAGAGCATTGCGTAGATGAATAAATCCTGAATCATGAATTGTGTGACTGACTGTTACTTATAGATGTGGGTCTTGCATTTACTTGAGTAGCATTTTTAAGAAATTCTACTTTTCAGAGTACTTCAAGCTGCATACTTTTACTTGAGTAATATTTTTTATTGAAGTAACAGTATTCTTTCCATTTTGAGCAAATCTGCAAGTGACACTGAACACTGCTCCTTCAGATACTTTTTATGTTTTATTTTTGTATCTATCCTTTTAAAATACAAGATTTTTTTGTGTATTATGTAATGTTTTGTCTTTCGGATTACATTCACTTTAAATTATAAATCACATGTTAAAGGTTGTATGGAGGATTTTTAGTTTTTGTTTTTTTTTGTTTCAAGTTGTCAATGATAGCAATATAGAGATGCAGTAGCCTTGTAATTATGATGACCAAAAAAAAGAGAATAAAAATTCATCAACTCTGGACATGGTGGGGCCAGCTAAACATTTGCCAATAGATAACGACATTGCCTCGTTATCTGTTAGCTGACAGGCTGTCAATCAATCTCCCTACGTTTCTAGCGTAACTGACTTGCCTGCGCGCCGCCGGTACGTGGTTTACGTACGCCTGTCACGCAGTCCACAGACGCAAGACGCACAGACGCTGTTTACTCCACCAACGCAACAGTTCTTAGCGACTTTTTTTGACCTATATCTTCCTCGCAGTTCGCACAAAGTTTGTTGCAATGGCAGACAAGAATCCAGGAGCAGTTAGCCGCAAAAGAAAGTCAGTTTTTGAGGTCGCTGAAAGAAGAAGACAAGGGGAAAAGCAGCGAAGCCAAACTAAGGTGATTCTTGAAGATTCATTCCAGCGATGGCGCAACTGAAGCAGACGCAGGGTCTAAAGACTGACGCACTGGTCGCCAAATTACTCCTGGACAGGTAACTTCTGCTTATTATGAAAACGTACTTTATTTCCAAGAGCTAGTCAAACGTTTTTCAGGACACGAAAGCGATATCCTATGTCTGAAAACATAATTTTCAAGGCAAAGAAAGAGTCCGCTTGCTGCTGCGTGTTGTAGCTAGTTCATTCGCACTGAATCTCCGCGCACTCTTCTCTGCTCCCCTTTCCTGCTCCTGTCCCCGCTGCCCGTTCCGCTCTTCCCCCTGCTCCTCACTTCTACGGGCACGGAATCTCCGCGCACCGCTCCCCTCTCCTCTCTCCTCTCTCCCTGCTCCGCTCTTCTCCCTGCTCCTCACTTCTCGTCCGCGAACGAAATGTCCGCACACCCGCTCCCCCCGCTCCTCACTTCTCCGTCTTGCCTAACCAACACTGTAGTTAGTTGTTTACAAGTCATGTGCAGCTCACCGGCTGTAAACAGACCTGTTTCTGGCGTAAGGAGGAGGCGGGAGGAGGCGTTTCTACGTAGGAGCTGTAGGGGAGGGGGGGTGGTTTCACGCATGCGCAACATTTGAAAAAGGACAAACAGTCGCTGGATTTCTCGTTCCTTGGAAAATCCTCTATACAAACTTTAAGTCGACACTAACTTTCACTTGAGTAATGGTTTTCCCAAATAATTTTTACTCTTATTTAAGTAATTTCTTGGACCTCTACTTTGTACTTCTACTTGAGTAATATAATTTTGATGTAGTGTTACTCTTACAGTACAATTTTTTTTACTCTTGTTTGCTTGCTTTTTTTAAAAGATTTTTTTGTTTACTTATTTACATTTTTTTACTCATACATTTTTTTATTTTTTACCCTTAATGTTACTCTTACAGTACAGTTTACTCTCAATTAGCACACTCTACTACTACGTATTCTACCCACTTCTCCTCACTTGCATGTAAGGGCCTTTTTTTTACTTACAAAAAAATGCACTGTGGGATCTTGGTTCTGAAGAATTATGTAGAATTATGTTTGTTTGAGCGAGTCGTGATGGGGGAACGCTTTGTGACTGTCTTGGCAGCTTTTAGAATGGGATCATGCTATTAGGAGCTTTGGGGAGTGTGCAGCATGGGGAGGGATTGTCTATCGGTCTGTCTGGCCTGCCATTCTGAATGATGAGAGTTGCTTCAGAAGAGTGTGCGTGTGTGCATGTGTGTGTGTATTGTCTGCTCACGCACACTTGTGTTGACAGATACCTGGCAAGACTCGCTGTCAGGTGTTCTGAGAAGGGAAGGATTTTGGGACAAGAAGTGTGTTCTGGCCGCTCTGTTCGAGTCAGAGAATTTCGGTTGCAGGAGGAGCCGAATGACAGCGTGAATCATTTTGTCATCTGTCTGCTTTGTAAAGTACTTTATGTGATCGCATTAAGAGCAGCTGATGAATTGTTTTAATGATCATCAGGCTGAATAAGAGTCAGGTCTGTGGAGAGGTAAGACCGCACACAGTATGGACACGTGTTTTTCTGCATTTTCAGAGCAATAAAAACATAAAGAATGAGAAAACATACATTAATTTAAGACTGTTGTTAAAGGTGCATTGCCCAGCTTTTCGGGGAGGGTCCGTCACCTGCTTATCTCCATGGTGATGCCATTGCTTTGCCTAGAATTATCCATGGTATGACATTGAAGCATGTAGCATTTATTCTTTACAGGTATGTCTATAGCTCAAAAATACATAAATATATAATTCCTTTTATGAACAGTGTTGCCTCTCCACAGATCTGACCTGTAATGTAGCCTATACATAAATACGTTTAATCTCTACTATTATATATAATAGTCTATACAAAGCTATAACATTTCCATGGAGACAAGGAGATAACAGACTCTCCACCACAAAAGTTACGCAATGCACCTTTATGTTAAAAAGTTACGCAGTAGGGCTTTAAGGGGTCAAACTGAATTACTGATCTTTTTTCAACCAACGGTGTATCTTCATCAAAACATACTTGGAGTAATTGTCTGTTTCATTTGAGCACAATATAGTTAATATGCATATTTAGTCTATTTCTGTCACCTCTCATCAACTGGTATACTTCATTCAGGTGACAGCATCCTCTGTGTTTTTAAATTTCATTGAACAAATTGCATTCATTATACAGCTTATCTACTTCACTGCTTCAGTTTTTAGCTTGGTTAGAGTTGCTTCACTTGGCAATACACTACCAGAGTGAGTCCTGGCACACCCATAGGGCAATTTGTGCAATGCAATATCAAACTTGTTCAAAAGTCATTTTAAAAGCCATATCATGCTTTTGGGGGCATTTAGTATTAAACTGTTACACATGTACATCATTATTTAACAATTTGTTCATTGTAAACCACTAAATTGATCTAATCCACCTAGTAATAATGAAAAAGAGCAGAGGGTTGTGAAAAGTATCAAAAATCAGATACTAATCTATACTAAAGCTAGTATCGAAACTAGATACTAAAGCAAGTACCGAATCTGAAAAAAGCTGCTTGGATAAAACTCGACCTTTTCATATTGAGTTTTATCAGAATTAGTGTAAGACCTCATGGTATATTTAGCAAATGTTATTATTTTGTGTGAAAATTAAAATGTTGTCTAAAAAAGACCTTTGAAAATTATGATTTCGGTATCAAAATTTTGTTCTTTAGATAGTTCTTTACTATCAAAATCGATTATCGTGTCAACACTAATTGGACCATTGACTTCTGGTGGAGGGTCTGTGATTTCCTTGTTTCTACGGTTGTCACTACTCTACCTAACATTTATTTGATTACAGGTGGTTTTATAGCTCAAAAATACCTAGAAAAACAGGCATTCTGATTGTAAGCGGGGTTGCCTTTCTGCAGATCTGACCTATAACTTGGTCTCCATGAAGAGAGAAAGGATTAATACCATACTGTCAAACATTACAGACAAAGCATTAACATTTCCATGGAGACAAGCAGTTGACGTACCCTCCAAAAGAAATGTTGTGTTTACCTTGGACTGCTGCAGGAGCGCTCCCGATACATGACCCCTCCCCCACACGTCCTGGAGCACTCGGACCACTCGGACCAGGCGGACCACTGTCCATGGATCGCCTTCGGACCGTGCTCCCCGTACTTCACGCACTGTCCCCTTCGACACCACTGCACACAAAAGACCCGCTAATTAGAATTTGGATGAGGAAAAACAACACTATGATCAGTTATTGAGCTGTGATCCTGGCTCTGGTTCTTGCCTTGGCCTCGTTCCCAGTAATACACCTGGAAGCACAAACCCCATACAGACAGATACACTAAGCATCACTGATCCAAGACTATTCCAACACTCAACCACCTCCTTGTCTAAATACCATTATTCAATATGAGAGAGACGACTATTGTTCAGTGTCCAGCTGGAAGAGAAAACCCTACTGCAGGTACAAGCAAGTATCATCAAAGTACATTGAAAGGACGTAATTGACTTTGATCACTCTGATTAGGCACCATTTTTTCTTTCATTCTTTGTAATTCTTGTCTGCTCTTTGGCCTACTAAATATAAGAAGATTTATTCTGAAAAGAAGAGCTAATTAGAAGGATGGATAAAAAAAGCATTCGTATTGGTCAGATTTTTATATAGAGCCTTTCCACCTTCAAGGCACTCAAAATACTTTACATCAAGAAACCACTCACCCATTCACATTCACATATTCATACATCAGTGTACGCAGGCACTTGGAGGGTGAGGTGGGTTAAGTGTCTTGCCCAAGGATACAACAACCGCATTCATGGAAGCTGGAATAGCACCGCCAACGTGTGGCTCACTGGATCTGATCGCTCAACCTAGGATATTTATGTCGAGAGCGCGATTCAAAACACCAACCTTTGGATCAGCTGAGCTACTCCTGGCAGAACTATTGTCCACATATTATCAAGTCTGAGTCTTTATGCTAACCCTCAACTTCCAGATATTACATGAAAAAAGTGTTTTTTTTTACAGTTTCTGACAAAAAAAAAAAAAGTCTTTCAATATTAATTTTCTGAACAGAAGATGACAGAGGATTGGACTGAATACCTCTTAATTTTAAATGACAATTACAACGAAATGAGTGCATCTCTGAATCTCTGAATTTGCTTAGTTGCTTAGTTTGCTTAGTTTTAAATAGTGTCATTTGCTTTTCTAGGCCAAACTTTTTGAACATCTATTTACATTCCAAATCTAGGTGAAGCTAGATACCTTATGTGTTTATATCCTGAGTTTTGCTGTTGTGAATCGAACATTGAAGTAGAAACACAAACCATGTCGGGGCCGCAGGTGGTGCCCTCTGCTGCTGGCATGAACTTGGTTTCACAGCGCTGCCCAGTGCGGTGACACCACAGAGATTTGCAGATGTCCTGTCAAACAACAACACAAACTTTGTATTATTAACACACAACCACAAATAAAGTTAAAAAGAGCAGGTATTACACTTCTATGGGGTTATAATTTTTAATGGACCCATATTACGCTATTCTCTGATCTATGCTATAATGTTGTTTCCTCATCACAAACAAAACACAACTCCACAGATCAGAAAATAAGTAATCCTGGCCAAGACCACCATCACAAAGATATCCAGACACTTTGTCAAATCTGATCAATGCATTTCTTTAATAAAACCAAGTATAATTGTGTTTGTCACAAGGGCCAACTGTACAGAGATGGAGCTACAAAGAACGCACAGAGGGAGATCGCAGGTCCAGAGACAGGCTGCAGAAGCTGGCCACATGCCCGACTTCCTCTGGCAGTGAGAGAAAGGGGCTGCCTTCACATTATTCAGGTCTTTATGTATGTGACATATGTCTAACATGGGAAGGGGGTATACAGCCAATACTCTGCATATAGGATCTACATCACAAAACCAAGATGAGAAAGCGAACAGAACAGCCACAAACTCATGTTAATCAGCATGTAGGTTCATTTACCACCCACCGACCAGCACACAAGTCAGGCAAATGCAGATGTTGTATTTGATCTTGTGTTAGCTAAACATAGACAGGCCTGATTGGATTTTCCCACTGAGTTTGGTCTATAGGAAGAAAGGCAGTAGCTTTTTGAACAGCATTTACATCTGAATTCACAATAATGAAGCCCTCTGACATAAAGGCTTTTTTCCTTCAGGGCGAGACAAGGGGGAGTGCTCCGTTTGTCAGATCCCATTTTCAAAGCAAGTCAAGCGGGAGGGGGGATGTGAACTCCAAAGATCATGCTAATTAATAAAGTGCCAGTTAAGAGCCGCATCATTAGCGTTCTATAGCGGAATGTCCCTGTCTATATATAACCCAGCCATTCTGTCTCTAGACTTAGCTCCCCATGTTCTTTCAATGAGCCTGGCAAATAGGGCAGTCAATCAGTAGCCTGTGTGGTAAGGCTGGTGAGGCTCATGAGCAATAAATAATGGCTCACTGAAGTCAACAAAGCAGCAAAAATGCAATAAAAACCGTCAACCAAAACACTTAAAGAACACATATTATGCATTCTTTTGGCTTTAATGCTATTTTAAATATGTTTTTGGTCACCTTGGGAGCAGTATTTCACATTTTTTAGCTTAAAGTGCCTATGACAGGTCTGACCACTCATTTTACAAAAGCACCATTAGGATCAATATATTTCTTCCTATTCAGGCAAGTTTTAAGGCTTACAATGTTACCTACTCGTTAGAAATCATGACATCACGCTAGGGAATTCCATAACTGTTATATAGCAAAACTCAACTAATTAATAATTATCAGACAAATGTAAATATAAAGAAGAAAATACCTTTATTTTGTTGAAATAATGTTTTTTTAACTATCAAAATCAAAAAATTCTTAAGTATAAATTGTGCTTGAGCGTTTGAATGAAATTCTCTTCCTGTAATTTACAACTGTTCTTCAGAAACTATTTCTTGACTGACTATACTAACTATAATTTATATTTACAACAGGTATTATCCCACCAAATTAAATCAAAATTAGAGAACTGTGAAAATCTGTCATATGTGCTTTAAATTGATGTCTGATATGAACTACAGTGTTGGCTTACAAGCTTAAAACCTGCATAGGAGAAGATCAAATTTCTACCTGTGACGCAGCAATCCAGGCAAAATGTAAAGAAATATTTGTGAGTGCGCAGAGAAGATGACTTTAGATTAATGGATTGATGAAACAAGCAAATCAAACAAGGAACCAACATACAACTCAAGGTATTTGATCAGAGGACAACAGCAGTTTGGTTAACTTCATAAATCTTACCTTCACAAAGTCTAGACTGCAAAGTTTGGCTTTGACCCCGAACTGCCACTTGCATTGTATATCAGCATCATAAAGCTGTCCCGGGAGTTGCTCAGGGTACTTGTATTGGCCAATCTGCCTCGGCTCATCCACCAGACAGGAAGCCTGAGCTGTTCTGGTAAACACAGCAATCCATAGGCAAATTAGTCAGATGAAAACCAAAGCATAAAAAGAAGCTTGACTTGAGCAACTAGGATTGTTCTGTACCCAAGGAAACGGCTCAGGTACTGCCGACTGCAGGTCGACCACGAGAAGACCCCGTTGTTTCCAGCGAGTGTGGGGGACATGATGTTGCCTTCAGTCTTTCTGCATGGGTTTCCTTCTCCATCGTGGATCATCCCAAAACTAATACAGGCAATTATAGAGAAAAGATATTTTGCAACATTTTTATAATACCATGAACGTCACTACAAAATATAAATAAAAGTTCTGTGATAATAACAGAAAGATTTGTTACAAATGAGAGCAATACACAGAAGTTTAATTAAAAATATGCTAATGATTGTGTAAATTGAAAACTACATTTGAGAGTGAACAGGTGCACTATGTAACTTTTCTGATGGAGGGCCAACAACCTGCTTGTCTCCATGGATATGCTATAGTTTTGCCAAGAATGTTCCAAGCAGAAGACACCACCAGGCTAAGTAACAGGTCAGATCTGTGGAAACTCAGTAAGCATGATTTTAAATGTTTTTTTGAGGATTTAAAGGGCTATTTTCTGATCTACATTATAATGTTGTTTTCTCATTACAAACATACCTGGAGGGTTTTGTTTCATTCACACATGTTTAACACACAAACTTTTTAACTCCAAACACCTTCACTAGAATTATCTGGATGATTTTAGCCCTGGAATTGCCAGTCTCTGCTGAACTACAGGTAAAAGGAGCTGTTCATTTGAAAACTACCGCTTCATGACATCACAATGTGAACAGAGCATTTTGAGCTTTGGGAGATGTAAACAGATGCAAACATGTGTGAATGAAATAAAACACAACTCCAGTTATATTTTTGAGGAGATGACAACCTTATAACATATATGTATAAATGCAAGACATCATTTAAATGCTTTACTGAGGAACATTGAGACAAGCAGGTGGCAGACCCCTAATCAGAAAAGTTACATAGTCAACCTTTAAATGACTTACAATTTAAAACATATACTACACATTTGAAACTTACTTGTGTCCAGATTCATGCGCTATAGTAAAAGCCAAGCCCAGCCCAGTGTCCTCATTGATGGTGCAGCTCCTGTATTTACTGCACATACCACTGATGGGAGCAAAGCCTAAGGAAATACAAATTATTATCCTCAAAACAACCTCTAAAAACAAAGCGTTTGAAATTTCCAAAGCAATAAACTTAATATACAGAACTGGCCTCAAATGTCCATCCAAGACATCCAAACTGGCAGGCAGTATAGGGGATTTCACACCAGCTGGGAGCTGTTCTCACTTACTTTTGGCTCTTTATCCCATAGTACTTGACAGAATTTGATAAAAATTTAATGGGCTTCACATGACAAGACCCTTGACAGTATTAAGCATTAGTAAAAATTTTCCTCCCACATATGACAGCACGCCAATCAAACGCAAGTCAATCATGTTGTATTTCTTGTAGCGAAATTTGTCTAGCCAAAGTAGTTAAAGCAGCTCTTGAGATCAAAATGAGACCCCTTTGCGCTGTCTTCATCTAATTATAAAGCGTTTTTTAATCGTCCGACAATCAGGAAGTGTGCTGTTAGCATGCTAGTTGTTGTTAGCATTAAAGTAATGGCAAAACTTTCCTCTGACCTTTGTGAAAAGCACTCAAGTTCATCCTGATGAATAATTAGGATGCTCAGAAAGAATAAGGTCAGTGAGGAATAACTTTGGACTACTGCAAAGTATTTTAAATAAAATAGTTCAGAATTTCAGACTTTTAAAAGACAGTCAGACCTGGTACAGCACCTTAAACTTATAATTATTTCAAAATTGTCTCTTCAATCTTGGTGTCACGAAAAGGGAAATGCTACTTTTTCCAGGATCTACTTTTCATGTGTCAAAAATAGTAGTCCATGCCAACATGCCTCCACTGTCACCGTTGCACCTGTCTGCTTTCTCCACCATTACAATATTCATGTCAGGCAGGTGTCAGACAGAAAGGCATACCTGCTCTCTTATTCAGCACACTATCTCAATGGCTGTCTCCCCAGTGACAGGACCGCAGTACACAGAGTAGTTCACAAAAAGGTTGATACATTTCGTAGGTTATTACTGTGTTTCATGAACTCTCTAGGGTTAGGTTAGAAGTAGAAAGAGAACGGATACATTCACAGAAGAATTGTATAATTTCCATCTAAAATAATTTTGTATACATGTATTATGTGGACATGATTAAAAGGATGTCAGTGTTGAATATAATTATTGCTATTATTAAATGGTAATTGCACCTACTACCTACTGCTACTACTATAATAGTTTGACCATTATTGTCACACAGGGCAGTCGGCACAGATATAGGAGCAGTCAGTTCCACATTGGCTCTATCAAGCTTCTTTTTATTTCTATGGTCTTTCACTGACTTTAACAGGAAGAGATGGCTAAGCTCTACAAAATGTATTCAGTACTGGTATTTGGGCAGGTAATTCAAGTTTCCTTTAGAGTTTACATTTGTTTACATTAGCAACCATTGCATGAGACCTATTAGACATACATTAGAACCTATATGGCAACAGGTAGCAAAAACTGATGCTAGTACAGCTACTACTGCTAAACACTACTGAGTGTTGGTGGGGATAGTAGTGGTGACAAACGAGAGTGATTTTGATATTACTGTACAACAATGCAAACACTTGTAGCTAAAAAGTGGCATTGTAATGTTTGTCCATTGTTTTTTGTATAGTTATGTATGTGATTGTTTTGGATTGTTTGAAATACAGTTGGTTACAGTTAGTTTATTGCGGTTAGTTTATTTATTTAATGAGACAGGGACAGTGCACAATATACATTAACCTTAATAGGAGAGATGCATTGTACCAGGTTGTAGCACAAGTGCTAACTGACTGAACGTATTTAATTGACCTTATCTATCAGCTATTCTTCCTGGAGACCTATGTAGCATGTTCTGAGTTGTTGACAAAATTGTTTTTGCATTTTATCTACAAAGAAAACATATAATATAATAATAAAATATCTATCTTAAAAGTGCATTGTGGAACTTTTCTGGTGGAGGGTCAGTCAAATACCTGGAGATGTTATTATTTTGTTTTCAATGTTTCACAGTATGGTATTAAACCTTTCTATCTTCAATGAGACCAGTTACAGGTTAGATCTGCTCACAATCAGAATGTCTGTTTTTCTATGTATTTTTTGGTATTTTTGAGCTATAAAGTCATCTGTAATTTAATAAATGTAAGGTAGAGTTGTTTAATGTCATACTGTGGAGCATTACAGGCAGAGCACTGACATATCCATAGAAACAAGAAAGTGACAGACCACCACCCAAAAAGTTACACAGTACACCTTTAAATTTTATGTTAATCTATTAATAGAGTGGGGAGTTTTGTCCTTGTAATCTTACCCAGTGTGTCACAGGGCTCATTCTTCCAGGAGCATATGTCTAGTCCAGTGAGTAGAACCGCGTGGTCGTGTCTTTTTCCGCCCTTACCCATCAGCCCAGACTGCCACTGGCAGAAGCTGTTGAGTGACTGGTCTGCATGGTGATTTATGGTCAAACCCACCTGGAGCGTTGAAAAGAAGAGGATATTTTGTTCAGACTGGGCATAAAAAAGAGGTTAGTCAAAAACATTTGCATACTTACAGGATCTTGTTCCAGTAATAGCAAGCTGACCACCACAACATTGATATCAGTCCCAATGGTGCCATCTTTGAAAAGACTGGAAACCTGTAAAATATTCAGTCAACATGAGACAGTGTAACCCTTCATTTGTCCAGGAGCGGGTCAATGTAGAGACGGTTTCAGCTGATACGATGCTAGATTGAATACTGGCACTGATAATGAAAAAGTAGCTATATCGCTTATCAGTTCCTTGATATCAGTTTAGTTCACCTTTAATTTAATGTAATAAGGCATTGTTTTGCAATCAAGACATTTCAGCTCCCATCCAGAAGCCATTTTGATGGTACTGGTACACTGGGAAAAGTATCCTAACCTGAGCTGAAGTCCAGCCTTAGTCAACTCAGGTCAGAATAAATTCTCAGTGCTCCAAGACAGTTCCATCAAATGAATATGGCTTCTGGATGGTAGCCGAAACTTCTTGAGTGCAAAAACAATGCCCATATGACTCCAGTTGAAACCGTCTATACAAAGTCAATTAACATCTCAACTCGGTAAAACACATCCCACTAAATTGTTTTTATTTAAGAAAAACTTCAAGAAGTTCAAAAGTACTTCCTAAAATCATAAATTAGTGCAGTTTTCCAGCAGTAAACACACCTGCATTACATTGGGCCCAATTAAAAAGTTGCTTGTCAATGTTTACAGTGAAGTACATTAAACACGTATATACAATGTGTTTAGAATTTGACACAGTTTTTTCCTAAAAACAAAAACCCAGTGTGGTGGAGAGGAAGCATAATTCTTTTGCTGGTTACACCCTACAATGTGTTCATTATGTTGTGTTTCAAAGGTACGATATAAAACATTATATAGGTAAAGATAAAAGTTTGGTAAATTAGAAATTTGTGAGTTCATGCACTCAGTGTTCAAGCATTCAGCATGAACTCACAAAGTTGCATGCTAGAATAAAATTAATACAAGCTTTTGACGTTTTGAAGTTTAAGGTGCACTAATATGTAGCTTTTCGGTTGGGGGTTCATCATCTGCTTGTTTCTATGGATATATCATTCCTTCTGCTTTTATTACTCAAAAAAAAAAAATAAAAAATAGAAAAATAGGCATTCTGACTGTGAATAGGGCTGCCTTTCCACAGATCTGACCAGTATCATCATCTCAAAGCTCACAAAACTATTATGCATCTCTGTGTATCTGCTCTAAACTGCACCCACGAGACTACACCTCTACACCTACACCTTTCTGAACCATTTGAGTCCCGCCAACAGTAAAGAGGGGAATATATTTTATTTGTATAACTAAAATATAGAAACCATGCTTGAAAATGACCGTTAATTAAAAAAGAAAATAAATAAAAATTTTACAATTGTCCCTCAGATTATGACTGACCCACAATTGAGTCGAGAATGGACAATGTTACGTGCTTTTTTCACAATTTTATTTATACCAACCATCCCAACCCAGGTGTGTCACCCTATACAGACAGCGTGTAGGAAGCTTCAGTGTTTAGAAAAGCAGGTCTTTGTGTCTCGACGCTAGTGCGAAATGAAATGAAAATGAATTAGTGATGTTAAAATAGCTCTACAATCTGATGATCTTGCTTAGAAAAACAATGTACTTGTCATTAGATGTATTTTCATAAAGCTGTTTTGTTTTCTATTTTGAGTTTTAGGTTAGCATTAGCATTAGCATTAGCTAAATATCTACATTTATACACACAGAAGCTTCCTCCAGTGAAGTATTTTATCATCCTAAAGGTCTTAAAGTGCTGTCCACGGGTTACACATGGTTTATCATGGTAACCTGCTGTCCACTGTCTGATATTTAAATATGGATTTATTTTAGCGCGACTCTGCTAATTTCCAATACACAATGAATGGAGCAGGAAATGTGGATAACCGTCACTATCCAGGCGGCTCCGTGAACAGGGCCTATTCTATTTATTCTTTGTCCATCCTCACCATGTTCATGACAGTCAGTACGTAGGTGGTAACGTTGTCTCGGCCGTGTTTCTCCAGCATCTTTCTGTCTGCCACCACCAGGGTCTCCACGTTCAGGGAGCCCACCCGGTTGGACAGGATGGGCGATCTCTTTGCCCTCCCCGCCCCTTCCTCCCCGGGCACAGCAAACTCGTCCGGCATGATGAAGCGGTCCGCAGTGGGGGGCTTGGGAGCGTCTGGGTGGGCACACAGGGATGGGTGGAGGGAGGAGAGAGGATTACAGAGACAAAAGAAGAACAGAATGGTGAGTTTTAAGTCTTTCAGGGGTTTTGATCACAATATAAAAGAGGGATTTAGTGTAACAGTGTAGTTTGCAATATACAGGCTGTGTAACTTTTCTGGTGGAGGGTCCATCACCTGCTTGTTTATATGGATATGTCATTGCTCTGCCTGGAATGTTCCACAGCATTACATGAAACAGCTCTACCTTACATTTATTCAATTACAGGTGGTTTTGTAGCTCAAAAATACCTACAAAAACTGGTATTCTGACAGAGCTGGGGCGCCTCTCTGCACATCTGACCAGTAACTTCATCTGGTTTGGTCTTCATGAAGATAGAAAGGTTTAGGCAATGCACGTCTAATGGTGGCTTTAATTGATACTTTGCGATGACATCATGCTGGGGGTGTTCTACATGTCTACGGGTCTCTAATGGCGGAATGCTTAGGAGTTACTACGGCGACATTATGCACACTGCAAAAAAGATTTAAGATTGTCTGAAAACATATAATGGATTTGAACAACACTTTTTCAGGAGCCTGTGATCAATATACGCATTCACGGTACTGTTTGGGATTTCGATTTTCAACTAGACAGCTTGTAACTGTAACTTTTCTTTGCTTAACAGTTCATCTGTTCCAGCTATGTCAGACCATGTTAAAATAAAGCACAAATTCTAATAAAGCCTCAGACAGAGCAGAACCTACAATTAGCATCACAACTCCAGGGACTGTTGATGACATCAGCTGCAAAGTATCAATATCAATAATATTTGTAGTTTATTGTAGTTATATATGTATATAGCTGTAGGTTCCTCTTCCACTCCTTAGTTGGTCATAATAATAACAAATGATGGATGGAAGAAACATTTTTTGGGGAGTCAGTATTTATCATGGGTACATTTTCTTTGCTGTAGAGGTTTTCAGATTTGTTCTGCAATAAGATTTGAGTTGTAGAGCAGGGGTGTCAAACTCATTTTGGTCCGGGGGCCGTATCCAACCTACTTTGATCCCAAAGGGGCCGGATCAGAAAACTCATGGCATATAAACCCCAAAAATAACAATAGGTTCAAATATTTGTGCAGAGAAATGCAAATCTATTACAGAAATCTTTTTTAATTGATGAAATCTTTCTTTTACAAAATATTATAATATTATGAACAACCTGAAACTTTAAGAAAAATGCAATTTCAACACAATGTTTAACATTAACTTGTATGCAAATAGGAATAAGTCAATTTTTCTTGGAAAATCCTGCACTCGGCTCCACTTTTCTCATTTTGGTAATTTTGCCGATGAGGGTGTCACGGTCAACAGTCAAAACGATCGTCCTTTAAGAGATTTTGGAAAGAGACAAGTCTTCATTTGTGCTGCTCTGGTGGGAGGGGCCACGCACAGAGACGCTGGAAATGCTGCTATGATAAACACCGCAGAAAATAAACAATATTTTAATAGAAAATATAATTAAAATATTTTAGTACAAAATCAGCCAAGGGCCACATTAAAGGTCTTGGAGGGCCGGATCTGGCCCCCGGGCCTTATGTCTGACACCTGTGTTGTAGAGGGTTGAATAAATAAGTTCTATGACTCATTTACTAACTACCAAAAGGTTTCATTCTGCTCATTATTTATTTATTTATTGCAGCTCATTCTTTTTTCTAGTTTTCTGGGGCAATGACAGTGCTAATGATTGAGTCAACATCAGTGTTTTGTTTGATTTGTTTTGTTCTTTTTTGCAACCTTTCAGGAGCGCTGGGTAAGTTACAAGACATGATATTGGTCAGGATTACCTTGCTGCAAGATTTTGATATAAAAATCCCGAAATGTTTTTATGGAAAATACAAGGTATGTATGTTTCAAATATAAATCTGATTTTGTACCAAGGGGTCCAGTGCTAACTTAATTTGTTTCTCACATGTTTTCCTGAGCTGATACCTCTTGACTTTTTTCTCATTTTTCTTTTTTCTCTCTTTGTTATTATATTCTATTGTGATGAGTGAGATACTGTGTCCAAATAACTTCCTTTGTGGATCAATAAAGATTGTCCAAGTCTCAGTTCATTTAATGCATTGCACTTACATTGTACTTGATAATGGACAAAATGCACTTAAAAATCAACATGCAAAGAATGTCTAAAGCTATGTTAAAGTAGGTCAATAAATGTATATATTTATTGGCAGTACAGCTTTAGCAGTGGGAGTTTAATAAGTGTGATGGCTTTCCTGGCTCGTGCCGTGTGATAAGAGAACAGCTCAAGTGTCGAAAGGCCAGGAAATTCACTCCCTTACACTCACAGTTTCCTCCTTCCTCTGCTAAACAGGGAAAGTGAAACCATGAGACTGCCAAACGGGTGGAACTGAGTACAGCGTAACTGATACACTAAGTTGAATATGGGTTTAAAGAGGAAATGTTCCAACTAATTGCTTGAATAATAATATCAAAATGTTTCACAAACTTGGCATGTTAAGATGAATTTAAGACTATAATGTAACATAATGGACAATTATAGCAAAAATAGGGAGAGATTGTCAGTCAGCTTTGTAAGATTTTGCACCCTAATCCATGTTTGAGTGACGAAAACTTGTGATGAAAACTAAGAAATCTATTCTTAACCTTAACCTTGACCTGACTGTGAAAATATATTGTCAAAACAAAGTGACAGTTGTGTGGTAAAACTTGCCATAATGATTAATAATTCACGACAAAATATTCTATGTCTTTCAAACTCTTCAAAATCTGCCAGTAAACAGGGATAAGAAGTTACAGCCCATGAAATGACATAGCCAAATAAAAATACTTGCCATTGAAAAAGCACTTTTCTAATGTATAACAATATATGTGAACAACTAATGTATTAACCATGGTGAAATCTCCCATATGTTTTAAATATGTAGAAAACTATATGATCAGTGGAATCCAGCCAATTAGTGTTGTCCAATGTTTTATAGATTATGGTGCTGACTGAGAGGGACCATTTGCTTGTTTCAACAGACTCTACATTTGACTAGACAGATGTTAGAGAATTTGAGGTATAAAATGTTCCCTTACATACATTGCTTGCGGCGTCCACAGAAGTGCATCTTGTCTTGCTGGTCGTCATGGTGGTGGGGCTGATGGTGGTCATGGTGATATGGGCTGTCAGATCTGGAGGAATTGGCTGAAGACGGTGGTGCAGATCTGCGGTTTATAATGTGTTCCGCTGAGCGCTTGTAGACCACATGAGGGTGATGGCCTTCCGGGGCATTGTAGTTGTGCTTTTGAGCCAAGTGGTCTGGGAGTGGTGAGATCAAGTACTCCTCCTGAGATATCCGGATCAAACCTGACTGAAAGCAAAAACACAAGGAAGTAAGATTATTAACAGTAAGATAACACTAAGATTCTGATGCAGATGTTGTAACCATGTAATATGTAGGGTCGATGGTGTTTTAGTTAAGGATGCGCGGATCCAGCCTTTTCAGCTCCAATATCGATCCCGATACTATGGCTTTAAGTATCTGCCAATACCCGGCATCAACCAATAACCAGTGCACGGAGTAAAAATATTGTATGACAAAATGTGTGATGTAGCTCTTCTTTATCTCTCAGGTAATTACAAAACTACTTTGTATTAAAAGCTCAAACATAATGAGAATTTCTTGACCAACTATGACTAGTAAATAATAGGGGTGTAATGGTACATGCATTTGTGCTGAACCGTTTCAGTACGGGACGTTCAGTTCGGTGCGCGGCTGTGCACAAGTGAGTTTGCACAATTTGTGTGTGTTTACATTCTGCCACTACACGTGCAGTTACACAGAAGGCTTGGTTCATTAATATTCACGAGGGAACTCTTCCATGATTGAGGTGGCAGTGTTTCCCACAGTGCTTTATAGTTAGAGAATTGTTGCAAAACTATGGTTTTCACCCCTTTCCTCACTTTAGCTTTTCATTGGCATGGAATTTATTTTATTTTCCTGTTTTTAAAATGTTAAAACAAATTAATACATTTAATAAAAGCACAAATAAACAACAAGCAAATGGTTTTACATTTTGTTTCCATACTGTACCGAAAATGAACCGAACTGTGACCTCACAACCGGGGTACGTACCAAACTGTGATTTTTGTGTACCCTTATACCCCTAGTAAATAGTCTTATTACATCAATTTATATGTCCAACCAGGATATCAGGAGAATCTGTATTTTTAACAGATACACAATCCAGCTAATTTTCATTGATCAGTGACAATATTTAATATTGGTATCGGTGCATCTCAAGTCATAGTCAAACAAAATTTGTTTTAGTCGACTAATTATTTTATTTCAATTATTAAGGATTAATATGGGACAATAGTATAAAGGAGAAGTATTGGTATTTTTTGGCATTTTTTGTATTTGAATATAGTGACATATAGTAATATATACTCGGGATCCAGAAGCTTGATCTATCTTTATAAATGCATTGTTTCCTAGTACTTTTTTTGGATGAATGGTTGTTTTTGCATGAACTCCTGTGCAGGTGTAGTCTTGTGAGTGCACTCTGGGTCATATAGACATACGTAATCATTTTGAGAGCTTTGGCCACATTACTAGAGCAGCTTGATTAGGGAAAAGAATCCATCAAGATAATTTTGATCATACTTAAAATCATGACTATTTGAAACAATTATTCATGCACTGGCCAACATTAACCTATAGAAAAAACATAAACTTATCAATCATTAGTAATGTTTTCTGATTCATAGCTTTTAAAAACACTACACTATTGATTAGACAGTTGGCTTTGCACCAGTATGTTATTGTTTTTCTTGAATTATACAACTTTTTCTGTTTGGAGAAAATATTCTATTATGAATAAATTTTTATCTTTTTTCTAATATTTCCAAAATAATCTGACACAAACTCTCTGTACCATTCCTAAGACTGTTGTATACTAAAGAAAACATCAGCATCGGAAGGTCTACCACCTCTAGGTACATCTATATAAATTTCAATCAATTAAGACACCTACTATTATTATTATTAACTATTCTGATTAGATCTAGACATAGATATATCGTATCTGCTATCGGCCGTAAATCTCCAGCACAGGCCAATATTTTGTTGGGCCAACCAGCTGCATAAAGACTACACACAGAGCTTTATTTGAACACTTCAGCTCTGAAAGGGCACGGCAAAAAATATGACTACACTGCTCTCTTATATGTCTGCAGTAAAAAAAAGTCTTGAGTGAGTTTGTAGTCAATTTAAAGTACAGAATATGGGGAAAATAATCTAAATAACCCTAACATATTGGCTCAAAAATATCAGAAGAGCTGGATTCTAAATAATCAGTATTAGCCTTGGCCACAAAAAAATATAAAAAATTCTACTCCCATTTTTGGTATGTCTATATTCTAGTATATTTATTTATACATACAAACATCGCAAAAAGATCTAAATACCTCATAAAGTTGACATTTTGGCGTTGTGACCCCAGTTGACCTCATAAACTTACACACGGAGCAACTCGAGCTCAAACATTCCGTCTGACCACAACAGGCCACTTAATTCAGCCCTTCAGCCGCCGAATGTACACAAAATAGCTGTGCAATCAATCATACGCACCCACACATACATGGAAACGCACTGCGCCTATGGACGTTATTAAAAACACTCCCCATCCTCCGACCCAGTGACACGTTGACCCCAGTCTATGTTTATACACGCTATCTACATGCCTAGCAACGGACTGAAGTGTGCATGTATGTCTGTAACGCTTGACCCCTTTCCCCCAGAACAGCAGGTGGCAAAATAAACAGACTCCACAAAAGCGAGGCGATGGCAAGGACTTTGTTGTCAAAACAGAGCCGGGGATGACGGGCAGGCGGCCATCACCAACTCTACATCTACGCCTTCATCTGTCCGCTGTCCTCTCCTCTGCTCCGACTACGGGGAAAATATCGAATGCCGATTTTTAGAACAAATGTTGATATAAGGGTCGCGATTTATGTTTTAATAAAAAGATTCTGGTGAAAGTTCACATCTTAAATAAGTCCGAATGAGTTGAGGAAAAGGCTGAAATATGAACTAACAAACGAATGCAAGCATCACATTTCAGGACACGTTTGGGTAACTACAGGATCAGCAGTTTGTCTTTTATTGAGAATCAAACTAAATAGCAGCTTTTGTGATTATCTAACATTTAATGTTGTCATGATACTAAAATTTTAAACTTGAGTTCAAAACTAAGGAATAGACTTGATGCTCGAAAACAGTTCCCATGCCACCAACATTAAATTGTAGTAGTGTATTTTTTGGATTATAAGTTGCAGTTTTTTCATGGTTTGGGTGGTCCTGTGACTTACACTCCGGTGCGACTTATATATTTCACACTGACAGCCGCCAGAAGGCGATCTTGTGTGTCAGTATCTGCTACTATTATTACTCCTGTACCACTGTCATTTTGCACCCTACTGCGCATGTCTCCTGCAGAAAAAGCCTCTGTCCTGCTGCAGATAGTGAACTATTCTGCCGAAAATGGTAATCAAGCAGCAGAAAGAAAGTTTGGAGTGAGCGAGGCACTGGCGGAAAGCGGGGATGAGTACACAACTTCACCAGAACAGGGAGGTGCACCATGCAACTTTCCTGAAGTTATTGGATGGATCAACAAGGTCTGGACTTCAGTGATAACCAAAACCATCCTGTCAGGATTCAGAAAGCCGGAAGTCTGATGACAGCTATACAGAAGAGGAAGTGGTAGTCCATTTACCTCCAGAGGTCGCTCAGTTGCTCAGAAATGAGACTGAGGATGAATAATTCAATGGATTTACTGATCTGGAGTGAGATAAAGAGTTTGGTAAACTTATATTATGTTTATGCTATAGTTATCTGAATAACTGTTCATATGTTACATTAACATTTTAACGTCTATTCAGCCTGTTGTTCTCTATTCTATTGTTATTACTATAACTTGCCTTTCAAGATGAAATGTTGGTTCCTAGTCTCTGATTTTATAAAATACATTTTCCCCAAAAAGTGCGACTTATATATGTTTTTTTCTTCTTCATTACACATTTTTTATCTGGTGCGACTTATAGTCCAGAAAGTATGGTACTTTCTTTTATATTACCATGTGGTCTTATGTCTGTGTAATCCCTCAGTCGTTCAGGTAGGTTCCATAGCGGTCCATGGGGGACTATGTGGTCTTGTTTTGATACAGCTCAAGATCATTCTAAAGCTATTTAGAAAAGGTTAATTTCTTGTTCATTTCTTCTTCATAGTTGCTCAAAAGAATATCTGTCTTCCACACTAGTTTTACTATGAATTCGTATCTGATTTCGGATACTTTTTACAACCTTACTGGCAACCCTATCTCCAAGCATCCCTCCCTTCCTTGACCACCCCAGCTGCCAGCACGTATCAACTCATAATTTATCATGTATTCTCCCATCCATCTTCCTCAGTGTGAAGGGAAGCGTACTGTCTCACTCCATTATTTTGACTACAAGCAAGTCCACACGGTCCAATGCGAGGGAGGTGCTGTCTTCTACTCTGGCAACGCTTTCAAGCAGTAAGTATTAATACCTGCCAAAATAACCTTGAGTGAGATACCTGACAGCTGCTCCTACCTGCTCTGCACAGGGTTGCCAGATTTTCAGAGAGAAACAAGCGACCAAGCCCTATAAAAAGAGCCTAAAATGACTAGTTAAATGTTGTGCATCACAGCTGAAGAAGCACTAATGACGTGCACATTTAACATTAAAGGTACTACATTACACAAAATTGACTCTTGTGAGCTTTAAGCCATTTCATGATGTTGTTACTTTATCAAAACATACACTGAGTAATCCTTTCTCGTTTAGTCTGTCAACATCTCCAAACGCAAAATGCTCTGTTCCACCTTGTGACATCATGAGGCATTTAATAACACTTTTAAAACATTAACAGCTTGTATGTCATTAACACAGACTTGTGAAAGGGTCAGTGGGAGAAAAAAATGCAACCCAATTACAAGTGACTTTTCAAAACAAAGAAGCTGAAAGTCGCTAGACATGGCAACTTGGGGCAATTCAGTAAAAGAATAAAAAATGTTCTCAAGATTGCATTTTGACACTCCTTATCTGTTATGATCTCAGTAGAGAGGTGAAACCAAGTTTTAAGTCTCAAGTAAGTCTCAAGTCTTTGACCTCAAGTTCGGGTCAAGTCCCAAGTCAAATACAGGCAAGTCCAAGTCGAGTCTCGTGTCACTGGCCCATAAGTCCAAGTCCAAGTTGTCTGCTTTGAGCTTCAAGTCATTTCAAGTTTTTAAACCAAAGTACCAAATATAGCTTTGATTTTTGCTATTTATATGACTAAAAATAAAT